ACAGAATATCGGCTCGAGACTCGGATAAATCGATAGTGTACGAGTAATGTGATTTTCCCCGTACACATACAGGTAACGGACCTTTCAACCCACACACCAACCCCGTTTTCGTATCATTAATCCGCTTTAAAAATGCCGGTTTTTGAAAGTACTTAAAACCGAAATATAAATGAAATACAAAACTGCCTTTTGTGGAATTGATGACGGATACTCAGTCATTATGAACTTTTTATATCTAATAAGAACACGACACACAGTATTAGGTGATGATATATATTTTCGTATCATTAATCCGCTTCCGGTTCTTATAAAACACGTACCATTCCGCACGTGGTCGTGGACCAGATGGCGGTCTGCCCAACCTAGCCACCAATACCACATATTAAATGGAGTACAAACATATGGTCTTCATTAATAACTTTTCCTCTGCTGTTTTTTTGTCTGTGTTTAATTTCGGCTAATTATAGAATAGATCGGTCGAGTTACCTCCCTTGTCAGGAAGTCTTCGCCAGGTGTATATTTAGTCAGTGTTTCTACGATAGGTTCAAATGTTACCAACACTGTATTTTATACTCCTCTCTTTTAAACGAGATGCTTTAGATTTCAAATTTAAATCATTTCATTTTAAATTCAACCAAAATCATAAAAATATATTTTTATTTTATTTGTGTAGTATAGTAAATATGTATTTTATTTTATTTCATGTGTTAAATAAAGACTGGCGAATACCTGCTTCTAGATTCTCATCGTGCAAACATTTAATTATCAAATACTAAATTCGGTTGGTTTGTCATCTGAGAGAATTATGAATGTGAAAGTCACTGTGATTTAAAATGAAAGTAATCTCATAGTGTCGAGCGAATTACTTCTTTCGTCTCCGAATATACCTGTAGTTTCTTCCTGATTGACTCGATAAACAGGTCTTCCGTCTCCGTGACTCCTCTCGTGTCCGGGTATTGTCTCACCAACTCAGTGGTCTGGAGTAGTGTGCTGTTTCTTCCCGTGAAAATATCTTATCATTACTAGCCCGAGATTCTTCTGGGTTCTACCTCAGACGTGAGACAGTTTGACGGACAAGTGTCTGACGTGGATGTCTGAATCTACTGAATTGTCTTACAAAAGTCTAACGTCTGGAGGAAATTCAGACACGACATCTGTCTGTCAATGCGTCTAACGTCCGTGTTGTAGAGGTCAAAGGAAACTCGTGCTAGTCTTAACTAACTCTTGAAGACTTTTCAAGCCTATCAATTCTTAAATTTTTAAAAATGAATACCGACGGAGAGGAAGAAAAAAAAAACCGAAAAAAAAAACAAAAAAAGACAAATGCTTAACGCCACTTCACTCTCGTTTAATTTGATTTACAGATTAACACAATTTAAATTTTGAAATAAAGAAGATATCAAATCACTTTTCGTTAGAATAAGATCACGGACAGTATACACAAGTATATATCATATGTAAAATACATATCATTTGAATTGATACCAAACTGATGAAATCTAACACTGCTGGTTAAAAAACACTTTCCCGTTGCGGTTTGTCATTTCAACACCAAAGAGTGCTTATCAATAGGGATATTCATTTCGGGAAATGATCACGACTATCTCCGCGGCAGTGTTTAGTGTTGAAAAATTGGAGAACTGTTTCCAAAATCCCAAATAGTTATGAAATACCAGTTTTATCACTGAATGTGAAATGCTCGAAACAATGGCATTGTAGAAATAATGACGTCACGCAATTTTCATTCAGTAGGCATTCCGTTTGTGTTTCACCCATTCAAAAACAGACAATCTGTGAAACTGTTGAAAGTTCTGTTAGGTCTCATTAAGAATGTCACGTGTATTTTATTCATTTAGAATACTTTTATTTATATAAAATAAACTGTATCTCTGTATTCTGACATTTGGTATCCTGATTCATGTTTCGTTATCTTCTATAAATATCACCAAAGCCGTTGAAAACAAGTGCGTAAACCAGAACTGGTAAAAATCTGTTGACACGTGTTACTCAGCCAATTTTTCACGGAATGTCATGTTGGGGGTGTTGCCAAAATTCCAATCCTCTGCACTATGTATTTTAACCGAGATGTTCAGTATGATCGACACGATCGAGGACCATTGTTTATCGGGACAGATTCTCTAAGCAAATCCGTAAGTTTATTTCTAATTTGAAAACCTGATGCCATGGTTTTCGATAAAACTTTGAAAAAGCAAATGTATGAACCCTCATACCCCTTCCATTATGCCATACAATAGAACAGTGTAGACATATAATCGAGCACCAACTTAAAAAAGGGTGGGGATCTGATTCTGTTACCTGAGCTGAGTGTAGTTTATTTGGTGTTAGTTCCAACAGAATGAATGTAGAATCGATAAAATCACTGAAATATAGATATGAAAAATACAGATGCAGAAAACTGTAAAATGGGACCCGCATCTTAAATCTTAACCTTGGCTTTACAATATAATAGATCGGAATAGTGAGCCTGGAGACTACCCTGGTTAATTGGCAGACTAACATTACACTAATTCTCTAGTTATCATACTATCCAAAACCGGGAAGGGGGAGGGAACATTACCAAGGTCAACCATTTATTTACTTTTGTACCTTCAACATTTATCTGTTTATCTAATTATCTGTCCCCGATCTTAAGACGGCGGTGTAATGTTGACCTGGTTTGTGTTATTATCAGTCTATTCCGTTCCCAACCGACACAAAAACAGATAACCACGACAGTTACACTTATTGTAAAAGAAAGAGACGGGAAACACATGTAGAGTCATTTCCTGGCATATTCACAAGCGCGTGCATTTGTACACCGTACACACAAATACGTCACGTGACACCGACAGTTATCTTCCAGGTCGTTATCCAGAGTTACTCCCCCTTGATAAGTGATGACGAAAATATGCTAAAAATTCGAAAAAGGTTCAAAGTGAAATACAAGTATATGTGATTAGTGAAAGGGATGGTTTATGAAGGGACTATTATGTTCACCCTTGGTGGGGAGCAGACTCCTTGCCTACTGGCTGTGTCTGTGGCATGATGACTTGCAACAGCACACAACTGCCAATATTCCTTACTGAAATCGACCCGAATTATTAGCTTTGTATTACATGGGAACGTTAATTCAATATCTTTTTGATATAGCACGATCAGTATGTTGACATTACAAACGAATGGCTGAATCGACAATCATATACCACCGACACTATAACAAACAATTGGCAGCGCCACCTCGCGGACTTATTGGAAGTGGTGTGTTTGTCATGAATATAATACTAATATCTATCATTAATTGTTGACAATGCCCGGTTTATGTTTACAACTTCACTCGGTATCATAAAGACCTCTCTCATTTGGCGATAAAATATTCGTGAAAGTGTGAGCTCTCGAAACCATTGGGAAAGACAGTAAGTCTGATGTTGGCACCAAAATGTAACGAAAACGCCCATTTCACATTTCATTAAATATAACACAAATATACCGAGGTGTTTCCACCGTGTGCCAGGATTATTTGGCGAAAACACGTACCAGTAGCAAAACCGACATTTGAAATATATCACCAGGTAACAAGTGTCACTTGATTGGGAACACGCACGTGTAACCTTGTCAGATGCCCCAGTTAGTATGGAACATTAATGTGTCACTTCAGTTGCCTGATAAACAATAGCTGTAGGGTAACACCACCATGGTCAAATGACCTTCGCTGTAGGGTAACCCCACCATGATCAAATGACCTTAACTGTAGGGTAACCTCACCGTGGTCAAATGACCTTGATTAAGATTTTCCTTGTCAATAATGGAAAACCTAACATTGTCAAATGATGCTGTAACGTTTTGACACCAGTCCCTATGTGGTAAGTATGTGATGCTTCAACACCCCTCCCCTTTTTACCCCAGACAATCCCCGCGAAATTGCAAAAATACAACAAAACACCAAAAACAAGTGGGACCTAGGATATACTGGATGTAGGTCAATAGTCACTTTCTAGTCCAGTACACCCACAGGGTAGGTCTAAACTGACCAGTACCTGTAACAAATAGCCCCTGATATACACGTGCACAATTAAATCATCACACTCTAGTAACCTAGATTCCCCGACAAGCCTATAACCAATAATATGCATGGATGTCATCAGGCTGGAATCCGGTTGTCTTCTTCGGATCAACTCGCCCTATAAATATAAATAACCAGATGGAGTGTTCCGAATGTCTGTCAGTCTATTACAGGGTCTAGTGGTTTGGTATGTACGCCATCTGTACCACAAATTACTCAACAGGCATCGCACGTGCAAACCCCCGCCAGATTATACAGACGGAGTGTTGATAATGAAGTACTTTGCTTTAAATTAATATCGCATGTTATAGAGCTGCTCTGTTTTCTTTGCCACAAAACACATTTTTACAATATGTTTCATGCCAATATCTTAAAAACAAATCCACTTGGTAATATGTTGTAAAACAATAGCCAGACTTATCAGCGTAAGTAATGTGCTGCACAAAGGAGAGAATGTATTTACCCTATAAAATGGTGATGGTGTTAGATTATTTGAGGTTTTTAATTGTGTTCTGTTCGTTTATAAAATCACCTTTGGTAGTTAATTCGCTATAAAATTGTCCGTATTGCAAGTCAGTTTTCTGTTTCGAGTTGTATAAACTCTCGTTGAAGTTGCGAGATCACAATGGGATGAACGAGTTTGCGCTATTTCTACAGTCCTGCCAGAGACTCGGTGGGGTATCGCGCTTTAGGACGAGCTTCATTGGAATGTACAAGATTAATTTATTTCACTAGTTGCTAAAATCTTAACCTTTATCCAGAGCGAAGTAACACATTTAGAGAGTCCATTTCTCTGTAGGATAAACGGATTCGTTGTAGGAATTCCTCTATATAGTTTTATAATGTTGTAGATCTCGGGCACACTCGGCACCAATAGGACACTTGTTAGGCCGGCTGACTGGTTGGTTATGCTAATTTATCATATTATTGGTCATTTCAGGGGTCTTTACGAGCTCAGGACAAGGCTCTTCTCTCCTCGCTGAGTCGATGTCAGGACACAATAGAGGACATAAAGAAACAAAGGACGGTCCTCAACGAGAATGACGAGGATGATTTGGAAGAAGACGAGGATGAGGAGGAGGATCATTGGGAGGATTGGGAGATAGCAGGTGCGCATGCGTTCACAATTTTCGCAAGTCTGCATAACTTAAGTTACAACTATGTTTTGTCGATGAAAAATTGTTACAGAAGCGGCTGTGTATTCTTTTGACTAACGCGTTGAAACCATACGAAATTGATTTCGAATGAAACTTAAATTCTTTTAAAATAGGCGAATACATGACATGAACACAATGTATTGTCCTTTAGTTTTCAGCATTGATAATGTATGTCATGCAGTGTGTCTTCACGTGTTGAGTAATATATAACATATTTATGCTACAGGTAAATGATGGGTATACTTTCAAATACAAGAGTTTCTTTACCTTGTTTTATATAGTGTTAAAATTTGAACATATACTGGTGTAGTTAATCGTCATTAAAAGTAGCAAAGTTTCCAAAATGTTTGCATCGAAATAAAAAGCTTTTGTGACCAGATTTACTTAATACAATTCCATGTAATTGATAGGAAATAAATTTGATCTTTTGCTTAAAGCAAACATTTGTTTCTAATTGTTGATAAAACTAACAAAAAAAAAACATTTTTCGATTTGCATTTGCCTTCGAACATCATGCCTATCAATAGAACATTTTCGTCTTTTACAGAGTTTGACAGACAGTGTCGCGAAAAAGATTTGTTAAACAGTAAGCTGAATCCATCCACCGGAACTGGAAGTGGTAAAATAAGACAATTAAGCGGAAGAGACATTCCCATTAGACAGGATATTCAAGCTGTTGTATAACCAACGCCACCGCAGTGTTCCGCTGTGCCATAAAATGCCACTTTAAATTATTTATAATTAAATGTATATTTAACCATCAATGGATTGTCACCGCGGATACGCCTGTTTAAGGACTAAATGTCTGGATTTTTGTATGGACGTTAGGAATATATTCAGATGGTAAAACTGTCAACTGCTAATGAATAGAAGGAGTCCTGCCGCGTGTCATCTACTTATAAATACCTCATCGTTTATTGCAATGCACTAACAAACATCATTACAGGTGTTTGGTCTGTGTGTCAAACTTCATCTGATTTAGACAAAGTGAACGGAATGTTATCTCTGATTTACCCCACGGTTTTCTATGCATAAGATTTTAGTCCCAAACTTTTATTATATGTGCTTTTTGGTAAAGTGAAAACAGATAATGCAAAAAAGAAAATTGAATTGAGTGATGGATTAAAAACATCACTTATCAAGTTGTGTGATCAAGAATTTTTTGACCTTATCGTTTATTTATTTCATTTATAATATTCTATTTTCCCTTTTGATCTCTTGAAATAAATACAGTTCTAGCAGCATCCGTCGCAAGTGGAAGGTGCGTGGCAACATTGGGTTTCTGCACGATCAATTGTCATAGAGATTAGAATTCAACGTCGTTCGTAATGTGTGCAAATATAGATAGCAAAATACGTGACGTCATGGTGCCAAACAGATGCTATTAGAGGTGACGTGATAGTGCCAAACAAACAGTTCTGACCAGTGCTGATGAGTCTGGCCAGTTAAGGCGAGTCAGACCAGCACTGTCCAATATAGGCAAGTTCTGGCCAGAACTGACCATTACTGACCTGATTTACCCTGGATTTATAGTTTCTATGCTGTGATGCTTTATTAACAAATGACTTTTTAAAGTGAAGGTGAAAGTCACAAAAAATTTAATAAATACCTGGCTATGTCTTTAGGAAACCTGTTGTGTTATCTTCTTTCACGAGTACGTGTTACCTCCCTTCAAAACAGGTACAACATAACTAAAAGGGAAGTAACTCTAACTACTTTTGTTGTATGAAACTTCACTCGAGAAGTAACGAATTGAAGTATTTGCTTTTTTGCATCAAACGAGTTTCGGACCAGTTACAAATGATGGACCTGTATGTTCTATTGTGTGCTCAGATGACAGTTCCTTTTAAACGACCCAAAGGTCATGTGCTTTTATATTTTTTTTTAAAATTCAGCATTTCGCCCCTATATATACTTTTTGGTGCTATTTCAAGAAGCAACGTCAACGTCGGTGTCGTGAAGAGTTTCAAAATATTGGATTGGTCTGGAAAGTTGTAAAAAAAAATTCATCTTCGATGCGAGGAAAAATTTATCCCCTTTCATAGTGAGTATACACAACAGACCTGTTACTCGTGTCCGCAACCTTTCGGAAATAAACTTGTTTGTTGAGCGATTTGTGAGGTTTAGCCGCGACATCCTTAAAATGACAAAACTGGTTTTTTATTAGTTATTTGGCTAAACTGTCGCTAAGTCGTCAAAGCACACTGAAAGTTGACGATAAGTCGGTGTTACTACTGACTTTAAGGTCAGTAGACTTTGGTGATGGTTCCCTTAATCAATTCTGTGAATGGTGATGACGAATGACGAAGGTTGATGATCACTATAGGAAGTTCTTAGTCGCATAGGCGATCATTATTTTCGTGCGTAAGTACAAGTGGGTTATTAGTTCAAGAATATGTCACAACTTGGATTAACGGCCCGAAACGTAAAGCAAAAGACGCTAACCCTTCCGAAACACATTGTCTTATTCTTCTGGTAGTATTGTCCTACTGTTTTAAAGCGATTTCCTTCCTTCATATTTTCCCTCTTTTTATCCATTCTTTTTAACATATGTCGACTGTTGTGAACCATTATTTGGTTGGTGGCGGGTTTTCCGTGTCTGTGACTCTCACCGATGAACGTCAGTGTTCTGGCCACGAATTGTATGACCAAAGATTTTTAAGTAGATCATGGCGATAAGACGTTGCAAGAATTCCATATTACACCTAGTTTCATCTTCAAGAAGGCGTGGTTGGGGTAAGGGAGCTACATGAAGGTTATTTCGCGGGCTGTATTGCATGTTGTTAAATAGAGTTACTGGCCCTATGACCAGGGCCCTGTCGCAGCTAAAACAAAGAAAATATTGCTGGCATCCACGTTTATATGAAGTGTTGAATATCTATTTATCAACAACAATTAAATTTGCATGAAATATCGTGATATTCCTACCTGTAAATCAGTAAAGCGTCAAGAAATGATTTTCTTTAAAGTATATCACTTTCATCGTTTTACGAAACCAGTTTAAATCAAAGTGTAGCCGATTGGGATATTTTTGGTATATTTATGTCACCAACTAATGCACATATGGAAGATCACCACTTTGTCCAGGTTTAGTGATAATCTTTTTATCAACATTTCGTACACAATGTACCTCAGCTAATACGCTTCACATGTACTGGTCGATCGTGTGATGGATGTGACAGTGTAGTTATCGAAACCTAGTACCCTTTCTGGTTGTGGTTCAAGAACGTCTTTTCTGTACTCTCATGGTGCATAGTATAACAACAAAATCATCAATTTATGAAAATTTCAAACACAATTTATTGTTAAACTATTGCTGAAGAGCTGTTTACCGTGATCCGTGTATCGAGATGAGTGAGAATTATCTGTAATTCATTGGATAACAGATAAGGTAATTTGTTGAAACAGATCTCCTGGTCATTTGGACAGATAAACGGACAGCTCAAATACAAAGACTTTGGGTGATGAGATTACAGGACTATATATATATATATGTACAGTGGACATAGTATAACACACATGTACGCACGCACACACACGCACGCGCACGCACGCACGCACACAGAGATTACCTTCATTTAATCACAAAACCACAAATATATCTCAAAAACGCCGGACAATAATGTAAAAAAAATACATATTCGTTCCGTGAGAATATTACATCGTTTTCTCAGCTCGTTACTCTTACAAACAACGTAATATCCAATACCTGTTCACAAGGGTAGATAACTCTGCATTACGAAAAGGTGGGACACATCCAACTAACAAACAAGCATAACATTTATCTGGATTTCATATCATAAATAGAAAAACTATCACAATTCTCCATTCGTCAGAGAACTTGTTTTTATTTATCTCGCTAGAGAGCCTCGATAAAAAAATCCCAAAATTCCACACCCGTTTTATAAACCATGTAGCAATGCCATCTTGATGAAAACAACATGACCCTGATGGCTTGACAAAATTGATGAGTATAATGACACTGCTGACATAGTAGGTAAGTAATATAGAAGGCAATACCATATCTTATGGTTGGATAATGGTAATTATCACATTGTTGTACATAATATCTATTTATAGAAATATCAGGTACATCTATTTTTCACAACCTCAAAGAAACACAAATAACTAAAACTCTAAAAACTGAAACTGTCATTTGATCCATTTTTCATCTGAAAGGTATCTGATATTTAATTTTTGCAAACTTATAGACTTTTTTGTTGATTTAACAAAATCCTCCAAGCTCGTATTTATATTTATAGATAAAATGTGGACGACATATCACTGGTAAAGCTAAACGTATGATATTACATGTATCTGGCGAAAACGAGAATTCCCTGTGTTTCCTCTGAAACAGGTCACATGATCTTTTCGTTCTCAACAGGTCACATGCTCTGGTAGTCCTCGACAGTAGGCTGGTAGTGACGTAACTGGCTAAAGTTCGGAAAGTAGGTATCAATAACTCCGTTGGAAACACTGTCAGTCTAGTGGGACAAATTCTATGTCCAGCTGTCAAGTGATACACGTGTATCAAACGCCTGTCCAGTTAGTCAGACATGTCGTCCATCTGTGCAATTAGACAGGTGTATTCCATTTGGCATTTTTTGCAGTGAGACACACAAATCGTCCATCTGTCTAGTGAGACAGACGAATCGTTCATCTGTCTAGTGAGAGGGACGAATCATCCATCTGTCGAGTGAGACAGACGAATCGCGCATCTTTCTGGAGAGACAGACTAATCGTCCATCTGTCTAGCGAGACAGGTTTATTGTCCATTTGGCTATTCTTCAGTGAGACAGGTATATTGTCTATCTGTAGAGATTAGACGGTCACTTCACCTATATGATGTCCAGTGAAACAGGAGTTAAGCTTGTCTTTGGTTTGCACCACATAAACACGCCATGACACACAGAAGCAAACATGCTGTGGCACATAAGATGTAGAATGAGTTTATACTCCAGTAAGCGAAGTAATATACAGTTGAATGGCAAAAGTTCGTGGAGACAGGATTGGATGTGAAATGTGCTCCATATACCCACCGGTTACCTAAAACATGTAGAAAATAACCTTCAGTTAACTAAACACATTAAAATACCTACCACTTACCTACCAGTTACCTAAACACATAAAAATACCCACCAGTTACCTAAACACATAAAAATACCCACCAGTTACCTAAACACATAAAAATACCTACCAGTTACCTAAACACATAAAAATACCCACCAGTTACCTAAACACATAAAAATACCCACCAGTTACCTAAACACATAAAAATACCCACATAAAAATACCCACCAGTTACCTAAACACATAAAAATACCCACCAGTTACCTAAACACATAAAAATACCCACCAGTTACCTAAACACATAAAAATACCCACCAGTTACCTAAACACATAAAAATACCCACCAGTTACCTAAACACATAAAAATACCCACCAGTTACCTAAACACATAAAAATACCTACCAGTTACCTAAACACATAAAAATACCTACCAGTTACCTAAACACATAAAAATACCCACCAGTTACCTAAACACATAAAAATACCCACCAGTTACCTAAACACATAAAAATACCCACCAGTTACCTAAACACATAAAAATACCCACCAGTTACCTAAACACATAAAAATACCCACCAGTTACCTAAACACATAAAAATACCCACCAGTTACCTAAACACATAAAAATATCCACCAGTTACCTAAACACATAAAAAATACCCACCAGTTACCTAACCATACACAAAAAATGTATTATAAGTCGTATTTTTCTTGTAGGTATTTGCAGAATGCCGGTGACTTTTCTAAAGCTAGTGAAACACTGTTACATATCTCTGTGATAGTTTACCATACAAACCCTGATCTCCCCGAGAAACACTTTACAGCCCCCCGTGATAGTATACCATACAAACCCTCATTCTCGAGAAAAAGTGTCTCAGGGCCCTGTGATAGTATACCATACAAACCCTCATCCCGGAGAAACATTGTTATAGGCCCCTGTGATAGTGTACCATACCAGCCCTCATCCCCTAGAAACACTGCTACAGGCCCCTGTGACAGTACACTATACAAGCCCTCATCCCCGAGAAATAGTGTTACAGGCCCCGGTGGTTATACGTCGATGTGATACCTCCGTACTTACCAAGTATAAACCAAACCAGGAGAAAAACATTCAATATTTGATCAAATCCACTTGGCGCTTTTTGCTGTTCTGCCCCGTTCTCGCTGTTCCGTTGACGGACATTCTGACAGAGGATGGACAGGAATTTAACGAGACACGCTACACCCATTACTATTAAGTATACGGGTATGTACTTAGCTACAGGACAGTCATCCAGAAAAACCGCACCTGAACGGAAAGCAACATGAACTACTAAACCGTCAAACATGACACTGATGTCATATACAATACTACTATAACTATCACACTTACAACGAGTCTTATTGTATAAAATCAAATTGAATACAACCTGTTTCATAAAGACACGGAGACTAGTATCTTTGGCTCCAATAGATCAAATATCATATTTTTCAGGAAAGAGTCACTATCATTTTATCTTTTTAAATGTAATTAGAATCATATACCCATACTTTATGTATATATTTTAGCTGTTAACTGATTTTAGCGCATTTTGCACCGAAAGTGTTGCGCTAAACTAACGTTGGCTCATTGCAGTTACTTTGTGCTGCCGATACAGTAGGTAGAGTGGATACGCGAATTTATCATTATCATTCGGTTACCATAAATTTGCACATTGACAGTATAACAGCCCTTGTGAAAATAATTGTTACTAGATCCTGTGATTAGAGTAACAATTATGTTTACAGTATAACAGCCCTTAGGAAAATAAATTGTTAACGGCCCATAGAATAGAGAGATGACGTAGAAACATTAAATTTCTACAATATTTGCTTGAAAATGTGCATGAATTATGTTGTAATAAGAATTTTAAATTCGTTTCCATTAGATATGTGATTTATGAAGATGGGCACGAATTTTTCATTTTTTAAATTCAAATACCATAAGTTTACATTTCAAACGAGAACTCATGCAAGGTCCTATATATTTACCTACCGATAACGATCTGTGCCACTGGTAGAGCAGATAAGACAGCCAAAAGTACCAAACAGAAGACTGCAAAACAGAACATATAAATCTGATCGAAGATTGTACACAAGATGTGCACAACATAAATTGTATTATTACATACACTTAGATACATGGATGTAATAGCATACTGTAAATCCATTCATTTTCGCGAGGATTCATTTTTATGAGATCCCTCTTCTTGATTTTCTCGCAACGATACATTTTCGCGGAACATACTGTCTTTAATTGTTGCCTTATGAAGTTAATTAACATGTTTGCGAAAATAAATCGCTTGAAGATATTAGTCAATTCTGTTGGTATACAGCATACGTGTGGGTACTCTTGTGTATTGTCCATTTGATGTATTTAACTTTATGCACCGGAAGTGAGTAAAATTAAGTATAGAAGACACATAACTCGGATACAAAGTGATAGATAAAGGAAGTACATACCTGAACCGGAAGTGAGTATGATTACAAGTTTTAAAAAAGTCGCATATACCAGATACAGATGTCACTAGTGTTCAATGTATATCATAATGGGCCAAAATGAATTTATGGACCGGAATTTAAAATAAAAAGCTTTAAAATACCGGAAGCTTGTCGTAATGATGTTTATTTCAATTCAATTACGCTTTACACTTTGTTTAATAAAAGAAACAATATATGTATCATCTTCTAAAATGTAAGTCTTCAGAGAATTTACTTACCGGAACTAAGAAACACTTGGCACAGACTCTTACACAGTCCAAAGTTGGAAGTGGATGACTGTTGGGCAGCTTTTACACGGCCGAATAGGGATTCGTAGGTAGGAGGCGAGTCTGAGGGTCAAACAACATATGAAGCGATAGGCGAGAATTCCCAATAAGGAACGTGAGTTAGAAACAATAGACCCAATGGGCCTGTACCATTTACCCGGTCTTCAGCTTATAAAGATTCGACATTACCGCAAGAGTGAATTCTGGTAACTTCCATGTTCATTTAAAATATTTTCAAACTTTTTATGAAGATTTTGACACATTTGTTCTCTGTGACGTGGAAAAGCTTGCACTTAACGAATTTTGTGTCATTTGAGCTGCAATATACCCATCTCATCAAGACTCACATGACCTAGCTCGTGCAGACTTGTATGTCTTACCTGCTCCAGCTTCACGCTGGTACTCCGGTAAGGGAGGAAGGACATCAGAGGTGGCAACCACGTGTATAACTGAAATAAAATCGAAATAAACATAAAAGAATATCGTCATAATTCATCTTGATTGATCACGTGACTCACTTTCCATATTTCTCTTATTCAGAGTTTCACCTAAAAACCTATGCCGTAGTTTAATTACTGCAACTAGCGGTGCCTAGCGGCAAAAATGGTACTAAGGCAGATAATCCGTTATATCTTTTAACTTCTTTATTTCTGTATTGTAATCTACCTCGTACCCTAATGTTAGGGAAACGTGACTATTTCGCCGAGATTAATCTAGATGTTTAAAATGGCTGCTCGATGAATCATCGTTCCCTATGTTAAGGGTGAAATAGATATGTAGCATAGATACGAGTCCACGTCACGTAGACAAAGGCACAATCTATAAAATTGTACCCGTTTTTTTTATTAGTTTTCACCAGCTAAGTTGGGTGTATGTAAAACAAAAATTCCAGGGAAACTGTTTTCTGTTCCACGAATAACGAAACACGAAAATCGTTATCTCAGAAATAACAGAAATGATCTCCCCCGATGATAAGATGTATAGTAACAGAACATTAAAATGTTTCTTAGAATAAATCAAAACCACAACAAGCGATCTCTTACAAATATTGAGTTTTTGTATATACTTTATACGTGAAGATAATCACTGGTTTGTTTCCTTTAATTACAGAGCAGCGTTTAAATATTAGACATCAACATTTATGTATATCGGTTAAAAGTATTTTAAAAAATGTATTTGTTATTTGTAAATCTAGTATCGAGGACTGTGGTAGCCCTGAACCAAAAATAAGCTTACTTTACTTTTTATACTGGAAAAAAATCCGTGAGGGATTTAATTTCATTGTTATCGGTCTGGTCTTAAACACAGAAATAATATGTCAACGAACTGTTTAAATCAGTATAAAATGAGTTATTGAAATATGTCTATCAACGAAATTAAACGTCAACGAAAAAGCAAGTTTTAGGGCAAAAAAACAACCATGATAATTGAACCTCACGAAAGTGATTTTTTACAGTACAAAGACAGTGCAATTATATAAATACTGTTGTGTATGAGAAACGCTGTATTATCATTTATGGAATTTCCTCTGTGCGAAATATATTACTTATCTTGTCCTGACATGTTCATTACACAACAACACTATTTTGAAATTCGATATTTGATTTGAGCTACTGTACAAAATCATACACCCTCCTCCGCCATGACCTGTGTAACCTTTAACAAACATACCTTCGTTATTGTCCTGTAAGTAACCTGGTGTAGGTTGAACGTCGGGAGAAGGTCGATCTGGGGGAAAAGGACATTGGATGGTCACAAACAAATATATACCAACAGAACACCGACAGGCCATCGGCTGTTTAGGCAGATTATCGTTGAGACAAAATCGAAAATATTGGGAAGTCGGAGGTGGTAACCTTTTAACATCGTAGTTATAAGTTAAGTGTTGTATATCGTTACAGTTTGGAGTTACTCTTGTACGGAAGCGTATTCCGGCCACGTTGTGTTTTATTTTAACTCGAAATTTCGAGATAGTAATCCGTAATTTTGAGTTAGTAACTCGAAACTCGAGTTAGTAATCCGAAATTTGAGTTAATAAGTCGAAATTTCGTGTTATTATCTCGAAATTTTGGGTTCGACTTACTAACTCAAAATTTCGGATTACTAACTGGAAATTTCGCGTTTCTATCTCGAAATTTCGGGTTAATATCTCAAAATTTCTCATTACTAACTCGAAATTTCGAGTTACTAACTCCAAATTTCGAGTTGCTATCTCGACATTTCGAGATAAAATAAAGCACAACGTGGCCGGAATACGCTTCAGAATTTGAAAGTTTTCGTGATATTACTTCGAACTTTTGTGTTGTTCATTGTACGTTGTTCGGCCAAGATCTGAAATGTTTTATTTCTCGGGGTTCTAGCGAACTGAACGACTAGAAAACGTCCTTATGTGCACAGTTCATATATAAGATTATCTATAAAGTTCAAACATTTCTTAAGAAATCTAAAAATCAAGGTGCCTACCTTGCTGGATGACGGTGTGATATTCCGGGGGAGGGGCTGTAGAGGGAGACAATGTATCATCATCAGTTACTGTGACTACGGATGAGCCCGCGGGGTGGGGCGAGTATGGTGGGGGTTCTAACATCGCATCGATCTAAAAATAAAAGAAGAATAAGGTGTAAAAAAGTCATTAGGTAACAGAATATGAATATTAAGGAATCTTTAAGGTGACTCGTACAGTTCCTATGAGCTCATGGCGGTGACTGATGACGTCACTGAAATTCTCAACATGAGTCGCCCCGTCGTACAATCATGTATAACGCGTATGTCAAACACAAAGGAATTAAGAAAAATAGACTTGTATGAAATACACACGTCCAGGGAAAATGTCGAAGACTTTCCCTATCTAAAAACGTGTCACTGGGGAGTCTTGTCTTCAGTTATGTCGCCACATAAACAGTTATGACTATCTTGCTGTGTGGTGGTCTGCTAGTAACTGGTGCTACATCACTGAAAATCATGCGGGAGGCCCTCACATATCCAGAACATAAGGGATAAACACTACAGCACAAAAACGTGTTCCCCAACTTCATATGAATCACAAACCACCGTGAGTCGGGATCGGATCTCACATTTCCGATTTCCGAAGTTCTACCAACTGAGCTACTTCCTGGTCTTTAGTAAATACTATATACAAATTTATTAACCGAAATAAATACCCGACAGAGTGACAGAGTTACGTATCAACGCTTAAACACACACATATATATGAATATATATATATATATTCACACACACATATATATATGTGTGAAGTTTATACACTGTAACAGTGTAATAATATAACTGAATAATGGCCAAGTGCCGCGTTGATTGAGATCCAAAACAATGCCTATTGGAGCAAAGAACTTCAGAATAACTTATCAAACCTTATACAATTACTATGGAACTAAACGCCAGGTTTGTGGCTCTGTGTCGACTCTGTATAATAGTTTATATTGTATAATAGTTATAATGACTCCAGTGTATCAACATGACACTGATTTCTATGTCCTGACGTAAAAAGTATCATAATTAGATATAGAAGCAAACCTATGTCCCCCTCGCCCAAAATTACAAAACTGAAGTATGTATATTCTCTTAAATTCCAGACATTGACCCTCACATACTTCAGGCTACCTGAATTACAACACATGAATGAATCGTTGCATTAAAGTGCCCATAAACGTCGAAGTTTAGCCTAATGGATGGTACCCGGTTATAAAACAGGTTTATTTTTTCAATTTCTCGGGTTGCACTTTGCATCGTACAATGAAAACATATCTCCACAGCCGTGTGGGGCCGCAGAAAAGGGCGTCATCAAGTTTTTTTTAATTTCACTTTGCATCGTACAATGAATACATATCTCCAAAGCCGTGTGGGGCCGCAGAAAAAGGCGTCATCAAGCTTTTTTTTATTTCACTGGTGAGATTTAGTTTTTGGACTTATTGTTAAACTGATACAGGGTTACTAAGATATAGTTATTATAAATACGTGTTATCTTAAGTGTTAGGGAAACAACAAACTGACTAGCAATAATTACAATGTAATGTTCCATCCATCTCTTGATAATGTCAACTTTCACTAAATCAACACCAATTATAAGTTATAATTCTGTCACTATAGATCAGGGATGTGATAGGGAAAGAGCGCGCGCAGGAATGTACAGCGGGGAGGGGTTGACAGAGGGGGGGGGGTAGACAGAGGGGAAGGATTGAAGAGGGGAAGGGTTGACAGAGGAGAGGGGTTGAAGAGGGGATGGGTTGACAGAGGGGAAGGGTTGACAGAGGGGAAGGGTTGTCAAAGGGGAAGGGTTGACAGAGGGGAAGGATTGTCAAAGGGGAGGGGTTGACAGAGGGGAAGGATTGAAGAGGGGAAGGGTTGACATAGGGGAAAGGTTGACGGAGGGGAAGGGTTGTCAAAGGGGAGGGGTTGACAGAGGGGAAGGATTGTCAAAGGGGAGGGGTTGACAGAGGGGAAGGATTGAAGAGGGGAAGGGTTGACATAGGGGAAGGGTTGACAGAGGAGAGGGGTTGACAGAGGGGAGGGGTTGACAGAGGGGAAGGGTTGACAGAGGGGAAGGGTTGACAGAGGAGAGTCACCACAAATAGAGGCCATAGTTAGTGACATCACAAGCAGCGTTCAAAGATATATATTAACATATACATACAAGTAAATAATTACCTATAAAAGATATATAAATCAAATATGGTTATTTTCAAAAATATTTACGAATCGTAACAGTGTAGATTTAGTCACAAATAATCTATCCTACCTCAGTGCTGAACTTCCATTCACCCACACTGTTGTTCCATATTAAATCACGGGGTACGACTCGTCTGTTTGTGTGTGTATAACTACTGTGGGTATATCAGGTCTGTGTTATACACGACTATTTAAGGGTTATCCGTCACGCACCTGTTTAGTATGTACACTGTCAACCCGGAACAAATAACCAAGTTTACACATGTGCCTCGGCGATTAAAGCACACCAGGACACAAAATATCACATCGTTAGCATACTATAGATGACAAAAAACAGGAACGCTAAATATCATATTACAAAAACATACGGACAAAACTTCGAAGAATCGAGAAAGAGTATACTATAATGAAAAACACACAGCAAAACACCACATTGTCAACATATACTTGTATACGGACAAAAGATACCACAAGGAAATCACAAAAGGGTCCATAATATCCTACAGCGTCTAATTTGGACAAGACCAATTTTGTTTTTTTGTAAATCAATTTTGAAATTAATCTGTTTATTTAAATTTTGGGTTTGGAAAGTGTCATAATTCGTGCTCGACATACATCGTATTTCTATGTAAATGTTGTATAATTTAAGTTAATATTGTACTGTGAGAGTGTGCATCAAAGTTCAGATTGTGTATATGTGTTAATATATTTTTGTTAAAGAGGAATGTCAAGAAATTACAGTAAAAGGTGTATCTGTGTTGAGATATAACAGTGTAAGGTGTATTTGTGTTAAGATATCACAGTGAAAGGTGTATCTGTGTTAAGATATCACAGTGAAAGGTGTATCTGTGTTAAGATATCACAGTGAAAGGTGTATCTGTGTTAAGATATTACAGTGAAAGGTGTATCTGTGTTAAGATATCACAGTGAAAGGTGTATCTGTGTTAAGATATTACAGTGAAAGGTGTATCTGTGTTAAGATATTACAGTGAAAGGTGTATCTGTGTTAAGATATAACAGTGAAAGGTGTACTTGTGTTAAGATATCACAGTGTAAGGTGCATCTGTGTTAGGATATCACAGTGAAAGGTGTATCTGTGTTAAGATATTACAGTGAAAGGTGTATCTGTGTTAAGATATTATTATAAAAGGTGTATCTGTGTTAAGATATTACAGTAAAAGGTGTATCTGTGTTAAGATATTACAGTGTAAGGTGTATCTGTGTTGAGATATAACAGTGAAAGGTGTATCAGTGTTAAGGTATTACAGTGAAAGGTGTATCTGTGTTAAGATATGACGATGAAAGGTGTATCAGTGTTAAGGTATTACAGTGAAATGTTTATCTGTGTTAAGATATCACATCGAAAGTTTTTATTTAAATTAGTGCTCTCCACCCTTCTTCCTATCGTTGATGAATCTGTCTAACAAAGGGCTATCCTATGCTTTAAAAGTCTCGTAATAAGTGCCTTATAAATAATTCAACAGACATTTGACTCGAGGTACAGACTTTTAGCTTACACATACAACAGGTTGTATAGTTCTTATAAAGTAACAAATGTCCGTCCCTGAGATAATGGACATTATTTGAACATTGGAGGACAAGAAGTTACATACTACTAAACATGGTATACAGAATAAATACATCAAAAGATGAATTACAATTTTTTTTCGGCTTTCAAAATCTCATTACGTACACCGTAATGACATCGTGCTTCCATATAAGGCAGAATGACAACACACCTGTGAAATCTGCAACGTACAGTAGAAATGACGCACAGTAGAAATGACGTACAGTAGAAATGACGTACAGTAGGCAAGACGTACAGTAGAAATGACGCACAGTAGGCAAGGCGTACAGTAGAAATGACGCACAGTAGAAACGACGTACAGTAGAAATGACGTACATCAGATATAACGTACAGTAAAAATGACGCACATCAGATATAACGTACAGTAGAAATGACGCACAGCAGATATAACGTACAGTAGAAATGACGCACAGCAAATATAACGTACCATAGGCAAGACGCAGAAAAGGCAAGACATACAGTAGACATGACGTACAGCGGGTAAAACGTACCGTAGACAAGACGTACAGTAGAAATGACGCACAGTAGAAATGACGTACAGTGGGCAAAACGTACAGTAGATGTGACGGACGGTAGACGTAACGTGCGCCAGATGTAACGGACAGTAGAAGTAACGGACGGTAGATGTAACGGACGGTATAAGTAACGGACAGTAGAGGTGACGTAAGCTAGATGTAAAGGTCGGCAGAGGTAACGGACGGTAGATGTAACGGGCGGTAGATGTAACGAGCGGTAGATGTAACGGACGGTAGATGTAACGGGCGGTAGATGTAACGGACGGTAGATGTAACGAGCGGTAGATGTAACGGACGGTAGATGTAACGTAAGCTAGATGTAAAGGTCGGCAGAGGTAACGGACGGTAGATGTAACGGGCGGTAGATGTAACGAGCGGTAGATGTAACGGGCGGTAGATGTAACGAGCGGTAGATGTAACGGACGGTAGATGTAACGAGCGGTAGATGTAACGGGCGGTAGATGTAACGAGCGGTAGATGTAACGGGCGGTAGATGTAACGTAAGCTAGATGTAAAGGTCGGCAGAGGTAACGGACGGTAGATGTAACGGACGGTAGATGTAACGGGCGGTAGATGTAACGGACGGTAGATGTAACGAGCGGTAGATGTAACGGACGGTAGATGTAACGTAAGCTAGATGTAAAGGTCGGCAGAGGTAACGGACGGTAGATGTAACGGGCGGTAGATGTAACGAGCGGTAGATGTAGCGGGCGGTAGATGTAACGAGCGGTAGATGTAACGGACGGTAGATGTAACGGGCGGTAGATGTAACGGACGGTAGATGTAACGAGCGGTAGA